TAAGCCCATCATGACAAAATCGCAGAACTCAGATAAGACTTAGGAGGCATGGGACACGTTGCTTGCTGCCGGTTAGCAATTCAAAAGTTGCTAGTTTGCATTATGGGGAGCAAAGAATAAAGAGCCGTGATGAGACGATGATGACTAAAAAGAGAAGTAGTAGAGAGCAACGAGAGCAGTGGAGAGGGATCTAGAGCAAAATAACAGAGTAATAAAAACAAGACAAAGACAGGGATGACACAAAGCGCGGAGTGGTGGCATTAGTTAGAGATCGGTGGAGTGGTGATGTGATGATGAGAAGCGTGCGGGCAGTGGCACAAATGGGAGGGCGATGGAAGGGGAGGTGAGGAGTAGCGAGCAAAAGAGAGTATTCTCTGACGTCATACGCGCTTTATTCGGTCACGTGTATTTGACTCGTACCAGAGGACTATTTTTGATACCGCCGTCCTGCTTGTGAGGCATTCAGGCCTCGAATCTCGAGTAAAGTGTTTTTTGTGGTCGCCACAACAGATTTGAGGCACTCGAGTGTTCATTTCCTTTTCTTTCTTGCCTCCACTGCGGCGCCCATTTGCTTCATCAACCCCATTAATAAACCCTCATTATCCTCAAACTCTTGTCTGGTCGCCACTTCTCTGGCAACTCTTTCGAATTCCTGCTCTGCTGCCCTTTTCCGGTCGAGTTGCAAACGGAGTAATGGCGCTAATCCTGCCTCCAAATCTGGTCCGAAAAATCCATGTTCTGGACATGTTGCTCCTGAGCGACGGCAGGTTCAATGGCAGATTCAATCGCAGGCTCACCGGAATAGGATACCCTCACACTTTTATAGAGCCTCTGAACCAGGTACATGTGCTTGCAAGGGATCAGGTGAAGACAATAATCGGCATAACTGCATGACACAATGCTGGTAACATCGTTGTTGTGGCGGACAATGTATGAAACGTCAGCTCTAACAAAGGATTTGACGACAAACTGGAAAAAAGGATGGTAAAAAATAAGCATAAGCATGAAACCACAACCACCACGATATTTTTGACAAATTAAGCCAAGCCAGAACCTACTTTGTGCTGGATCAGTGTCTCAACATAAGCAGGGCAACAT